GTTAAAATGCATTTCTAACTTCCGACTAATTTCAATTCAGCTGACCTCATTTTTTTGACCGCCACTGTATTGAACTGAACTGTTTGCATATTGGACACCACAAAACGTCAATTCTATTTGTCGCCGTCGTTAGTTGGTTGGCTGGGGAGCCTTGGGGGCTTGGGGGTTTTGGTGGGCGGGGCGCAGTTGCCGGTGAATTTGCACTTAGTTTATTTGTCGCGTCGGGCACAAAATATAGAAAATTGAAATAAAGCGAAGAAAATGCCAATGACATGGATAAATGCAAAAGCGGCAAATTTTCGATTGTTGCGCTACGTCTCTGGCGCCCCTTTCTTCCTCTTCTTTTCCCTATTTTTTGTCAGCCCTGTTGACCACTCTTGCAAATAACAATTTTCCGCTTTGCCAACAGATGGTTGATGTGGCATTTGTTTGTTTTTGTTTTGGTGCACAGTTCACTCAAATTAAAAAGTCGAATCGGGTATTTGACACGCGATAATCGTTGAGGGAGTGAGTGTAGTGTGCTCGTGTGTGCTCGTGTGAGTGTGTGTGTGTTAATGCAGCGAGATAGAGCCTAATTACGCATACGCCAGATGTGCCCATGTAATGGGCACATGAAATGAGATTATGGCTGAAAAAAAAACAGAAAACGGAAAACAGAAACAAAGCTCAAGTTCAACGGCGATCATCGAAAATGTGTGAAAAAAACGTGAAACATGTCGCAGTCGACACAAGCAACAACCACAAAATTGGGCAACCGAACAATAACAACAACAACAACAACGAGAGACACAGATACAGAGAAATGCAGCAGTTCTTTCCACGGTGGCGACAATGCGACCACCGCTGAAGTGCGCTTTAAATTCACTTAATTATGGAACACACACGAAGGGCATACCTAAAAAGCAACAGCAACAACGAAAACATCAACGAAAAAAAAAATAACGACAAAATGCGTAGCAATCGATCCACACAATGCTGCGAATGTCCTCGCAAATCATAAATAAAAGCTGAACCGAGACGGTTCCTCAAACTTGCAACTGTAGAGCGAACAGCACCGGCTGAGAGAGGGGCGAGAAGAGAGGTAGATGAGAAACCTAAAGCTGTAGCTGTAGACTGTGCCCTCACCTGCGCTGGTAATTGCAAATCCTCAGATAACTTTAGGCACTGTGACTAAAATACTGAGAATTGATTTGGAATAGAATGAAAATGTTATCAACTAAATTTGTAAATATACTAAAGCCTAAAATATTGTATTTAAAATAAGTAGATATACTTCTTTAAAGCTTTATTCTTGTTAGTCATAGTTAATGTAAGCAACGTAATAATTATCATCAAGAGTTGTCTAAATAATGTTCATTTTATTAAAGCTCGTTAAAGTGCTTATTAATATTATATAATGCAGTAAATAGTTTTTATTTTAGCTTTTCACCCAAAAATTTTTAAAAATAATATTTATTCAACAACAATAAAATAACTTAAAATTTAAATAAAATAAGAAAATAAATAAAAATAGAATATTATTAAAATTAAGAAAAAAAAATAAATAACAATATAATATAAATAAAAATTGAATATTTTATTTACATAAATTTAAAAATAAAAAAAATTAATATTAGATTAATTAATGAGAAGAAATATATTTTTTTAAATTCTCTATACAATATGCAACTTAAATTTAATTATATTTCCAACTTATCTTATCTTATCTGTATCTGTCTGTTTTTATTTATTTATTATTTTTTTTATTTATCAATATCCTTGCAATTTTCAATACATAAATAAATAAAACTTGATTTAAAACATAATTTATATATTTGCATTTAGACAGTTGAAAAATATAAACTGAAGTTCGATTTGAAATGAAATTGGAAAACTTTAAGTATTTTCACAGTCATTTCGTAGCGCTTTAAAAATGCTTTAGAGCAGAGAGTTAAGCAGCATTCGAATAAATATGATTTAAATATAATTGCATGAAATTGATTTTGAATTGATTGGCTGTGTTTTGGGCCCACTGTGCGCTCGTTGCATTGTGTGCACAATTTCGGGATCTGTAAAGCCGCTCGCGCTGCCGGCCAACTGCAGATCGTTGCATGAATAACAGAAATTCATCAATAAAACATGTGAAAACGAAGGCTTTAGTTGTTGTTGTTGTTGCTGGAGTTGGAGTTGCTCCTGTTGCAGCAGCAGCAGCTCTCACGGCACACGTTCGAGCGTCATGAAAGTGGCAGGCAACTGGGCGGCCGATTGGTGTTGTGTCTGTTGGCTGGCTCACTGGCTACTGCTGCTGTTGTTGTTGCTGTTGTTGCTGCTGCTGTTGTTGTCATATGTATCAAGAGTTTTTGGCTTAGCCAAGCCAAGCCAAGCCAAGCCAAGCGGCCGAGCCGAGCGCACTTTGAAATGCTGTCGACGGCGATTCAGTCGGAATTTTCAATCAGTTCCAATTGTTGCGCGCCCAGTGACAAGTTTTCAGCCCAGGCACAGTATTGTTGCTTGAGTGGCAAAATGTGCACGACCACCAGCCAAGTTAGCGCTTTAGCGTGTGGAGCTCTTGCAACATTTAGTTGCATACACATAGATTATCCAAAAGGCAGAACGAGTTGCGTCTTAGTCGGCCTTAGGCGGCATGAACTACTGGCATATGAATGAGACCAGACCACAGTTAAGCTGATCTGAGCAGAGGCAGCAGCAGGAGTACGAGCAACAGTTCGAGTGATCCATGCCGACTCGAGCTAAGAGTTGCTGATTGATATGCACCTCGCCCTGGCACGCTGCACCCATCTCCCATCTACCATCTACCCTCACCCATCTCGCAGAGATTGCCGACAAAAGTTACAGGTAGGCTGACAAATGCGACATGTGCCGAGCAAAAATGCCAACGGACTGAGAGCCAGTCAAGAATGCTGGCTGGGATTAACCAATTTGGTCAATGCCACAGCTTTGCGGCTAACAAGCCGATTCACTCGCATAGCGCAAATAAACAGGCGAAAAATGAATTAATAATCGTAAATATCGCGCCTGAGCACGTGGACAGATACCAGATACCCGATACCAGTTACAGATCCGATCACATCCCTCTGTCTGCCTGCCTGGCCAATAACTGTTCTTTGCTGGCATTTCGATGCAACAAAAAGAAAAAGACGCTCAACAATTTTAACAAGATCATAAATGCGAATGGGCTTCAGATCTTGCCGCATCCATTCGCAGCTCTCAGCAACAGCTGCCGCTGCTGCTGCCGCTGCTGCTGCTGTTGCTGCTGCTGCTGCTGCTATAGATTTCCTAATTTGCAAACTGCTGTCGAGGCAGGCTCTGCTGTTGCTTTTCATTTTGTTTTATAGCAAGCAACATTAACAGGCAATCAATTAAATTTAATTATGACACCAATTATGGTCTGATTGCCAGACAACCAGCCTGGCCAACCAGCCAACCTAGGCTAGCCTGGCCAACGCATAAATGAGTCTCCATCTGCAACTTCGCTCGGCGTCCCTCAACGCTTTTGCTGTAATATGTAATAGAATCATTAAGTCTCTTGTTGTTGCTGCGGCCAGTTTTCGTAGAATACCACCATGGTGGGCAATCCAGTTGGCCAAAGGCGATTGCCTTTACACAAATGTGGCCAGTAGCCAAATAGTTTTAGACACCATTTGAAGGGACTGCAATGAAGTTGTCGCATCGCTGGCCATCTGCATAAGGTGCGATCCACTTTGATCAGCTGAAATACTTTCAACAGTCGCGTGCAGTGCCTGTTGGCCAATAAGGCAACAGCAAGAAGAAGAGCGAACTAAAACGTGCTTGACGAATGAAATTCGAAATGGAACAGAGTATTGAAATAGTTGGCATATTCACTCGGTTCAATTATTCAACTGAATGAAGGGCAACTGATGGGAATTAGATAAGTAAGGGGGAAATAAAGATAGAAGACCTTTATAATGGGACGACGAGAAAATACTAAATGAAATATTTAAAGAAAAACTAGATTCAGTAAATACTTTATATTTTATATGAATTTGATATGCTTAAAGCTGTAAGCAAATAAATTTTAAGTCTCGCAGATCAAACTGGATATTGTGGAAAGACAATATCAAAATAATCATTTACACTTAGTAATTACTAACATTAAATATACATTTAGAAATTAAATAAAAAAGAATAGAGGAGTAGCAAACAGAGCAAATATAACCATAATTCTGAGTAGCCTAAATCTTCGTCCACATTTGAGCATCCGTTAAATCAAGGGTTTTCCGGCCTTTCAGATGTGACGCGCTCCAATATTATTTTTCACAAATGCTTTTCAGTTTCAATTAAAATAGAATTCGCCTCAGCTTCCGCAATTGTCTGCCAACCGCCCATCGCGTGGCTACTTATATATCTTGTGCAAACAATTTGTATGCCACTAATAATATTTTGGGAAGCCAATTAGAGCCGACGCACTGCCGGCAGGGAAGTGGCTGCGGTTCTGGCAGCCGCACAGGATGTGCATACAATTAACATAATTCGCTTGACACGTGACATGAGAGGGGGGCGGAGTCAGTCAGGCAGCAGGAGTAGCAGGAAGAGGGTGGGGGTGAGAGAGAGGGCAACAAGGGCTTTGGGGTGTCGAATTGCGGCGGCTGCTGCTGCTGCTGCTGCTGCACTCGTCTCAATTTACAATTCACAAAATTTATGAAAATAGAATTTGCCTTTTTGATGAACTTTCCGAGCTTTGAGAGCTGCTGGCTCTCGCTCTGTGGCTGCTGTCTCGACGTGGCTAGCTGCCGCATCATGTTTTATATTGCACTTGATAATAATGCCAATAAATCAACGATATGCGCAATACACACAAGCCAACCAAACAGCCAGTCAAGCAGTCAGCCAGTCAGGCAGTCAGCCATCCAGCCTGCCTGCCTGGCAAAATAAATAAAAAAGCGACGATGATGAAAAGCAGCTTAAAATGTCATCTTTTGTATGGAGCTGAAGTTGGAGTTGTGTTGGGGACACACTACGGCTTACAACTTACAACTTACCGATCAATAATGACGGGATCCGATGGCGTCTCGTTGCGGTTACCACAGCTCTTCTTATCACAGCAGCGGCTGCAGGTAAAATAAAATGAAGGAAATCGTTTAAATATCTTAAAGGTGAATTGCGTTAATATAATTTTAATCTAAGTAGAAAAAAATCTTTAAAAAATGCGCTAAAAGAAAACTTTAAGTAATTTAAATTGAAAAAATACGAAAATTAATTTTTTAATTTTTATCATTTTGTTCTGTTTTGTTTTTATTTTTGTAAGCTATATGCGATAGCTAAGGATAACTAATTATAAATAAAATAGTAAATAATAATAATAATAATAAAATAATTTAATAAATAAAATAAATATATAAAGTAAATAAATAAATTATTTAAACAATAAAAGAATAAAATAAAATCAATGATTAAAATAAAATATATACATATGTAAAATCATTATTAATTTATGAGCAGCGTAAACTATAAAATTTGTTAATTTATAGTAGTCAGCTAAAGCTTTTTAAAAATACAATGGAAAACTTCTATAATAATAAAAAATAAATTTTAGTAAAAGATGCTAATAATATTTAACGCAATACAAGCGACTTAAAAATTTGTAGGCAAATATTATTTCATTATCTCACATTTAATTAAAAAAAATTAAGTAATAATATCAAAAATATTTTGTTCATTATTATTTATGCAATATTTAATTATTATTAATATATTATTAATTATTAATATTATAATTATTAATATTTTTACAATTATATTTAATTATTATATTATTTATATATTTTTTTCTATTGCAACAAAAAATGTAATAAGAAATTACGCATCAAAAAGATTTTTCTATATTTGGAGCTATGCATTCCTACAATTCCTTTCGCACGCTCTCGCACACACACACAAACACACACACGTACGCACGCACTCGAATCGAGTTCAATGGCTGCGTAATTTTTGGCCGCACAGCCGCTGGGCAGCGTTTTTAGGTGGGGTGCACGGGAGTGGGGTGTGACAAGGGGGGTGCAGAAGGGTGGGCACGCTAACTGGGTGGCTGCAGCTAAAGCTTGAGCTTTGGCTTCGTCCTGGGCACAACATAAACATGGATGACTAAAATGGGCGAAATGCCAAACGATAAAGAAGAAGCCATTGCCATGACTGGGACGTCGACGTCGACTGCGACTGCGACGCAAAAGCTAACGATGACACCGACGCTGACGTCGACGCCATTGTATTTGTATTTGCTTTGTGTTACGCGAAGCTGTTGATTTTTGCTGCTTTCTTGGCCAGAGCGAAAGCTAAGGCTAAAAGCGGGTGGCTGCAGCCAGAGATCGAGAAGGGGGCAGCGACGGGGCAGAGACAGTAGTCAGGGGCCAGTCAACCCCTGTGCGTTGTCCCCTTGTTTTGATAATGCTACGCAAACATAAAAACTGGGTGCCAATCCGAAATAATAAAAGATGGCCGGCCAAGCGCACCCTGAAGCTGTGCCGCATAGCGGTGGGCGATGGGCGATGGGCGATGGGTGGTGGGCAGGGGCTGTTGGCTAAAAAAAAAGGGGGCGAATCTGTGTAATTTTTTGTTGTGCGTTTGGATTTTCGTTTCTTTTGCTATTTGGGGCTTAATACACTTCGAACTAGTTAAAAATGGATTTATTTTGAAATTATATGAATTTATTCACGATAATCGAAAAGGTGAGAACAGAAACAGGGTATTTGCTGATCATTGTATAAGTCGAAAGAAATCAATCTAGTTGAACCCAGTTCAATTTTTTGAAGACTTTATATCAAAAGAATTTTCAGTTGCATTACGTGGAAAAGCGAATTGATATCTATAATATATAACAGTGGCATTACAGGGTATTGCGTAGTCATTCATGCATTTGGGGCTTTCAATTTGTATTATTTTGGAGGCAACCTTCAACTGTCAGCCTCTGTTTGGGCGCTAGAAGGGTGAACTGCCCAGAGATATGATGATGCTAGATGACGATAGCAAAAGCCAAAAAAAAAGCAGAGAAAGCGAGATAGCATGAGTGTGAGAGAGAGACAGGGAGGGAGGTGGAGCAGGAGTATCTGCCATTTATACGTTTCAGCTCTCGTGCGTTTGAGCGTAAAAATAAAACGAAGGCCGACAGACAGACGGAGAGACAGACAGACGGACGGACAGAGTAGGACAGAACAGCAATAGGATAAAATGGAAGGGGGACAGGGGCAGCTGCGGGCAGAAGAGGTAAACTAAAAAAATCAACAATATTAAAGCAGCCACCAAAGGGCAGCGAGCACAAAAAGCTCAACGAAAGTAAAAAGAAAAATTCAAAAGAAATGGAAAACAAAAGCTACATAGTGGAAAAATCACGCGGAAAACGTTTAAAACAAATGAGCGTAGCTGCCAATTTTAAGAAAACACAAAAAAAAAAGAAAACAACAAAAAATAAAGAGACAACAGAGAGAAAGAGTGACAGATAGAGAGAGAGAGAGAGAGAGAGAGAGAGAGAGAGAGAGAGAGAGAGAGAGAGAGAGAGAAAGAGAGGGGGGGAGGGGAGTACAGCAAAGCTTACAAGCCAAATATATAAATACTTGGACAAAGCTCTGGGGAGCTGAAAAGAGCGGCAACTGAAACCTCCCCAGAGGGTGCGGGAGAGCAGGGAATCAAAGGTGAGGATTAGTGTGAGGAGTGCGAGTCAGAGCACAAGTCAATGCATCCAAATCATTTGCAGATTATTATTAAAACGGAATCAGAGTTTCGGTATACGATTCACTCACCTGCACATCACCTCGTGCGTCAGCAGGACACGGCACATCTCCGGGTTTTTATCCTGGCCCTCGTAGATGATGGCCTGCAATGGAGTTGAGCAAAAGCACAAATTGTAAGTAATCGCTAGCTAGATGGTCTTAGATAGTCTTAAGCTACTATTGGAATTGATGTCTGCCCATCGTCAGTTTATAACGCACAAAAAAAAATAAGACTTGCTATTTTTCTTTTTCAAAAAAAAATATTAATATATTTGGGAAAGAATTAAGAGATTCTCTTTATTTGTTAGCCAAGCTTAGTTGGCATTATTTACTTTTGTAGATTAATTTTCAACAATTTTATTTATCGTCCTATGTACCTCTTATGAGAATGAGCTAATAATATTAAGATTTCATCTAAAAGCTTAAAATTTTATTAGGGAAGTGTTTTATAGAATTTAATAAAATAACCTAATAAAATAACATCTAAATATAATAAAAATAAATTAAAAAGATTTAAAAAAACTTGAAAAAAAAAAATTCAAAATTCGGTTATATATTATATACATATTTACAATATATATACAATATACATATGTATACATATTTACAATATATACAGAGTTGTCTATGTTTGACTGACCCATCTGCAGCCTTATAACTTAAAAAAAAAGAAAAACATTAACTATTTTATTTACATATTTATTATTATTTTTGTTACATCTGGCAGGCTTATATCTTTTAAAAAAAATCCATTAACTATTTCATATACATATTTAGATATATATTGTTTGTATTTATAAATAATAAAGCTTAGCTAAAGAAATGAAAAAAATTTAATATTTGAAAAATTGTTTAACTATCAGCAGCATTATCGAACTATCAAAATTAAATCGGTTAAGACAAGCTTTAAATAAAAACTCTTAAATTAATTGCATTTAAGAGTTTTTATTTAAAGCTTGTCTTAACCGATTTAATTTTATAATTAATACTAATTAGTTTTACTATATATGTACTATGCTTAAAGCTTCTGTTAAAAAAATTATTTATTTGCAAATAAATCAGCCATGAAAGTTTTTTCTGCTCTACTCTATAAAAACATTTTTATACAAGTTTTTTTTACCAAGACTTAGATTGAGGTCAACTGATCTAAGCTATTGATTGGCTTAAATGCTCAGAGTTTGTTGACTAACTCCGCGACAGCAAATGGATATATATCATGACCACAAATCAATGGAAGCCTGTTATCAAACGGGCCCCTGCCCCGGCCCCCTCCCCTGAGCCTGCTCAAGTGTGTGGAGGCGAATGCAAACACACATAAATGCTAATTACAGTGCAACTACTCGAGAGTTTCGAGCTGGTCAGAAGGTCGAGCGACATATGGGACACACATACAGAGCAAATATTGACACACTCGAAGCGGGTGGTCGAAATTTTGGCTAATAATAACTGTGGGAGGAACAATTTTGGTATTTCTATTTATATTTGCTTAGGCGGCAAAAAAAAAAAAAAAAGTAAAGTTCGTTGAAGCATGTTTACATCGGAGGGGTAGGCAAAACATTTTAGTGTCACTGACGGTGGCAGTGACTACAGAAAAATCGTGGCATGTGCGAGGCACACGCACTTGGCACTCGTCGAGGCAGGGGAATGGAAACCGCAAGTGCAGCTCTCTCTCATCAGACAATCTGCTGCAATTTCAAGAGCTGAAGATGCAAAGGGGCGAGCACTCGAGTCTGTGATAGCCTTCGCGTAGAACAAAAACAAATAGATAAACAAACGAGAGGTAGCAGCAGCAACCACCCAAACCACCCAAACCAGCCAGAGCACCCAAAAAAGGCGCATAGTTCTCTAATTTAAAAATGATTAAAGCGGGTTGGCCAACTCCCTCTGTAATCCAACACTCATCCAATGAATTAGTTTGGGTAAAAACACGGCATATGCGCGAGCAGACCCCCGCCCACCTCTGGCTGGGTAGCCCGACGCATGGGTGGGTACAGAGGACTCATTCATCACTATCAGTACGAGCTGTAAAAATGCATGTACTCCGTGAGCCGTGTACACGCAAAAGTAATAACAATAACTACCTAGATACACATGGAAGAGGAGCGAATCATCCACCGGCGAATGATGCCACACTTGCCGCACTGCCACAAGGCAAGCACGTCAAGGACGAGTGCGCTCGGGCTCGACTGACGTCACAAGCATATGTGCATTGTTTTTGTTGTGCGCTGGGCCAAGCCAAACAGATAATCAGAAATTAATTTCAATGCAACCGGTAACCGGTAACCGGTAAGCGGTAACTGGCACCGGGTAATACCGGGTACTACTCCCCCTAACCCCCCTACTATGCTGCAACACCCTGTCCACCCCCTGCTGTGGCGTAGGTAAAGCCAGCAGCATCAGTGGCCCATGTAAAAATTATGATCATCCCTTATTATCCCGTTTTTGTCGGGTTAATAATTTCCCCCCTCTCGACAAAAAAAGAAAGAAAACATTAACAGCCTTGCCCTTCCTTGCACAGCCGAAGCCCTCTGTAAGTCCCCGGGATAACAACAACTATCCTGCCAAGGATATCCAGCCAATGCCTTGGCTTAATGTCAACTAGTTGCCAGCTAGAGCTGTGGCAGAGTGTGAGTTGGCTTTTTGTGGGACAAGTGCGAGCTAATTATAGAGCAGACCCAAGCCGAACCCGAACTCGAAGCTGGTCCAATTCATTCTACAGGCCATGCTGCTATATCCTTCGTCAAGGATTGTTTTGGACAAATGTTCTAATGGCTTTTCTATGTTTGCGCAGAAATTGACTTTGCTTACATGTATCTGTAATATTTACAATACATAATAATGAGTTCTTGAAGTGAGGAAAGTTGAGATAATTGTATGTTATATATTAAAATGTATATTTTAAAAAATATATACAATTTTACCATGATTATAAATGGTTAATAAATAATAAAAGAAAGTAGCAATATATTTGATAATATAATATATTTATTAACCAATTATAAACACAACAAATTTTTATTTTTTTTTAACTTTTATATAACTTTAAATTTTAGAGCGATGTTAAGGGAAAATGTCTATATTATATCTCTATATAAACTTTAAATACATAAGATTTGGAGCATGGCAAGTATATATCTAAATAGTAGATAAATTTGAGTACAGATAGTAATTATTTAGTATAAGTAGGCAGGATAAATATATAATATATAGCATATAGATACTAGAGCTGCTGATTACTGTATAATATTATTAAAAGAATATTATTTATATTAATTAACATAATGAATATTTAAAGAAAAAGGATTTAGTATGCATAATAATTGTAAAATTGATAGAATTTAACAGAGCTTTAATCAATACTCAACTAAAATCAATTTATACTTAATTAACACATTCGAATTTAACTGTTTATCCTACCATAAAACCAGTTATGTAACAGTAGTAAATATAAAACGTATTAAACTATATTTCCATAATTGTGTTTACGTTTCTTAGGGAAAACCTCAATTGTATTCCCTCAGCTGCAATCGCCCGCATAAAGTCTTTGTCACACACCCATACACAGAAGCCATTCATATCCAAAACCATTGATAAATAAGCAAATTCCAAAGCCATCAATCATTCGGAGAGAAACCGGAGATGAAACAATTAGTGTGCCTGGAAATCTGGAGCAAATCTGGACTGGCAAAGTGCCCCTAAATGCTGCATCTAATAAAAAACTAAACGGACGCTACTAAAAACTGGAGTAAAAGCGTTTAAACTACGATTTATCACAGACCAGAGCAGAGCAGCGCAGAGCAGACCTGGCGGCCAACCAACCAGGAGCAGTAGCAGGAGTCGGCAAAAAAAGCGACAAACGAACAATCAAAGCAACAAAAAATCAACAGACAGCAACAAATGATAAAAAAAAACACACACAGAGTGTTGATGTGACGAGCCCAACTGGTGGCAGGCAAATGGAGGCAGCAGTTGGTAATGAAAGCTGAGGCAGCAGCACGAACAGGAGTAGCAGGAGGAGCAGGAGTTGGAGCTGTTGTTGCCAGCTGAAGAGTTGGCGATTGACGTGGCTGTTAAATTTTAAACGTTCTGCATAAAAATGTTGCAACATTGCGACGTTAAATGCCTTGCTCTCTTTTATTTTTGCAAATTGTTATTATCGCTTTTTAAATAATAATAAAAAATAAAAGCGCAACGGCTTTTGCATTATTTACGCGCTTGCATGCTGCATATTTTAACGTGAAAATAAAAATCTCGCCAAACAAGATAATTTATCGCTGGCAGCAACAAACGACTACAGCAAAAAGCAAAATACAACAAATAAAAAAAACCTTTGTTTATAAAAAAAGAGAACATCGAGGGTTACTCTTAATTTATTAAAGCATCATTTATCAGCGCAGTTCTGGAGCCCGGTTTAACGCATAAATTTACGGCAGACAGCGTCCAGGATGCAGGACTCGTAAGAGAACAACAAGTACGGATTTATATAAGGATATAATATTATACATACGTATATGCACTTGAGTATGCTTTACTTAACATTTTCGCTGGGAAATATTTAGGACTATTTTAATTAATTGTTGAATATTATTTATATTTGAAATTATATAATATTATATTAGCATGATGATGCAAAAAAAAAAAAAATACGAGTTTGTGTCTACCAATACGAATATGACAAAATGTTTTTTTAATGAAGTATGCTCTGAATAAATTTTTAACACTTATATATTAAACAAAAATCGTTTGAAAAAGAAAAAAAAAATAATAATAATAATAATAAGTTGACAAAAACGAGTTTCAAATTGATAATAAAAATAACAATTCAAAATCCTTTTTTTTTTTAATATTTAACTTCAATGGAATTTAAATAGAATAAAAGTATTCTAGTTGATATAGACAACAAAGAACGGAGCACAAGAAAGACACGTATGCTCACGTGTATATAAGTATAAATACATACATGTAACATTTATGTGTATGTGTGTGACATATTAACATAATATATTTACATATATTTGTATATATTCACAACAGATATGTGCAAATGTCGCAGACAAAAATATTTGCATAATGAGCGCGATATGAAATGCAGTTTTTTGTCTCGTTGCCCCACAGTGCAACGGCGACCGCAGAAATGAAAAAAGCACTTGCCGTGAAAGCATTTTTAATCGCATTGCCATACACAACACCAGAGACGAACATACACACACACACACACACACACACACACACACACACGCACATACATATGTATGTAAGCAAATCAGCAGCGCAAATGGCGCTCTGTTTGTATGTAGAGTTTTCAGTGCGCAATCTGTTAAATTTACTGAATGGCCTACAGCAATAAGAGCAATAAAAACAAAAGCAATTGTTAACTGGATAAAATGGCAAAATGAAATGTGAAATGTGTTATTAATCGAAAATTTTGCACGCTTTATTTTTAAGTGTTGACACACAAATTAATATTATCGCTTAATTAACGCGACGCAAACACACAAAGGCGTAAGCGAGAGAGCAACAGAAGCCGCACGCTGCTGCTGCTCATGCGGCGAAAAGAGCGAGACAAACGTGACTGCACTGGCAATGGCGTGTGTGATCTATGTGTTTGTGTTGGTGTGTGCGCCAATATGCATTAGTGATGCGCGATTATGGCGATTTCCATTGGAGTCACGGCTGGAAACTTGTTTTTTGCATATGAAGTGCCGTCACTGGTTAAATGAAAGCGTTGTAGAGGTGACACAGGCGACGTTGTTATTGCTAAACACAGTGACCAGCTGCTAGTCATTGCTAGTGTTACACATCTTTAATATTTATCAACGCTTGCGATTGGGCGGCTCAGCTGCTGTAACGGCTTTTTAGGCGGCTCAGCGACTCATTAGCTCACAGAGCGCAGAGGCTGCACCATTTTGAGTTGTTTCTGCTGCACAATGTGCACATCCCGTTATCTAGGTGCATTAATCGCCGCCTATCACCAATCACCAATCGCCCTTTTGCTGTTGTTCGGTTTAGAATTTCGCTGCGCTTTTTTGGCCGGCCGCATAATGCGTGTAAATCGCGATAAGCGCGATTTTTGGCAGCGGGGCTGGCAGCCAAAAGGATTTTGGGCAGTTGTCGCAGTTGGCAGTCGCTTTTTGTTTTATGTTTATGCCGGGCCCACCAAGCCAGGCCGAGCGCACCCGGGCCAGGACATGTACGCGAATGAGCGCTATGAAATATGAGCGCAAATGAAGCGAACGGCGTACCAATTGAGCTGTACACATCCTGAATGTCGTGGTATCGCACCTCCTGCTCCTGCTCCTGCTCGTGCTGGCTGATGGCTGCTGCTACTGCTGCTGCTGGTCGTTAGCTCAAATTGCAATTGCGCCGCCTTCGTGGCGTTTGGTCGCGTTGTATTGCCCGTTATCTGATCGAATGTAATTATGATTATGACGATGATTTGCAACATTGCCAGCCTCCCAGCAGGATCAGAGTGAGGGCACTGGCGATAAAAATCGTGAACCACAGGCAAGGGTTCTCTACCGTCTCTCTCGCTCTCTTTCACTTTTTTGGCTGCGGCACGTGACAATTGTAATGCGTTGGCATTGCTTTCACATCAATGCCTAAGACAATGTCTCACACACAGCACTCGGATGCTGTTTAATCGCATTGCTGCTACAGTTTCGAATTTCACTTTGCCGCCAATGCGCCACCCCCTGATAAGAATACACTTATCCTCGGCTCACGTCCGCCTCCTTGTTTACCTGTTACGCACCGTTTGTGCTTCAGATAAAACACTCTGCCCGCCGCCTGACACGCGTATGCAAAAAACAAAAAAAAACAAAAAATACATCCAAAGGGGGTTGACATCTGACCAACTCTGGCAAGTATACCAAAATCCAACTAATCCGATCAAATGATTGTTCTTTTGCTGCCTTTTTGTTTCGTTAGCCCTCAGTTCAGTTGACTCTGGCAATTGCAACTCATTTTAAACTCGTCTGACAACTGACAGACAGTTAAATGTTGCACAGCCTTTTTAGGGGAGTGAAACATTCGAGGACTTTGAACAAAACTTTTAGAGTTTATTTATTGCTTAATATTCTGTTGAATTAAATGCAATATTTTGAAAGTTTTAATATGGAAATAGTAGGAAAACAAACATTTTAACTGTAGATTAGACAAACCTATTTCAACCCTCTCCAGTTTATATATGGTTATTATGAATTATGTAATGTACATAAATTGCTATTGAGCTCTGCCTAGCAAATACATTTTTTTTTTTCATTTGTTTAAAGATAATTATATAAAAAAGGCTCGTATGCTTTTCTGGAAAAATGCTCATATCAATATATTTATAAACAGTTTGGTTATATAGTTCTTGAAATATATTGCATATTAATATTAAAGATCTTTCAATTTTGTTACGTACAAAAAGATTTACATATCTCTTATAAATAATTTTGCGATAATCATTTTAATTGTCTATGAAATTTCATAATTTTGATTGCATAAATGTAAATTTGTTGACGATATTATCTATTGTTAATGGAAACATTTGGGTTGGTTTGCTAACGTCTTTGCGAATCAATTTCATTCGCACTGCAAACGGCGCACATAATGGATTCCTAACACTGGTGACCGGGGCTACGGGCTACGGTTAGATATCGATAATTTGTGGATAAATTTATTGCGATCGGGTGAATGGAGCAACGCCCACAATGGAGGGCGAAAATAATGGAATGCCGAAGAAATTGCACGAAAGCAAACGAAACGACAAACGTCTATAAAAATTTGTCACTCGAGAAATTAATTGCCCTTGAAAAGAGAGGAAGCAAACGGAAGGGGGCAGCGCAAGGGGGCAGGACACACGCATTAGGCCCACACAAAGCTGACATATGGTGCACTGGCATAGCCTGCAGCGTGTATAACGCACATCTATTCGCAGCACCCACAACAAAGCGCATTAGCCATGTTCGATTGGATTGGGCCGGGAGAGACGCCGAAGTCTCAGTCACACCCCTTTCGTAGGCGATGCGATGCGCTATGCGCTGTGCGCTGTGCGCTGTGTGAATGAATTGCTCGTTTGGCTGCCCAGCTTCAACTGCGAAGCTACCGAAGCACCGTTTGACGACTCAATTTATTGGCAGGACACACACACACACACACACACACACACGTATACGCAGAGAAGGGCATAGAACCTGGGACACACTTAATTAGCCGTGACAATCAATTTCGAATGCAACTTATGCTCGAATCAGCAAAAAAAACATTGCCCAGCCAGTTCAGAGTGCACGGACATCGAACCAACGCCAGCCAAGTGGAATGAATTAGTTTTCGATTGCGTGGCACAAAGCATTTGCCTAAAAAAAATGAGCAGCGGATAGTGTGAGGGAAGTGAACTTTAAGTGTATTGAAATTAATCTTTATTAGATTTACCTCCGAAGCAATCAAATTTAGTTATATATCTGAGCGGAGCTAACAAGCATTTTCAGTGTTTAGAGTCGTAAAATGTCATGTCATATCAGATTTTAGTTTTTTGAATGGATATGGCTAGTGCTGAAAAAGAGCTGTTAACTAATCTAATATAATATAGAATAATCGTCCAATGATAGGCATAAAATTTGAGCATAAAAGGTAACTTAAAAACATAACTAAAATTTAGTTATAGTAAAGGCCTCAAATTAATTTTAAATATAAAATATAGTTATAAAAATTTCAAGATGAATCACAGTAAATATAGATTTAAGCTCTGAATTCTACCCTTCAATTTTTCTCAATGCCCAAATTGAATAAAATAAATTGAATTTATTTATTTTATTTAGTTATTTATGTTTAATTAATTTAAATTTAAAATTAAGTTTTATTCAAGTCTATTGATAGCAAATAGAAAACTTACCGCTTTGGTTACTGAATCGATGAGCCTCACAAATATGTCCTGTTCCTGTCGGGCACCTGTATTAAACGTGAGTTAAGACACTTCGTTCCCATTCTATAGATCTCGCACTTACCATTCGCGTAGAGCAACTGCAGTCGGTACTGGATGCCATTGTTGGTCTTTGTGGCATCCGATTCGGAGTCCTTCTCGATGAAGCCAATGAAGGCCGTTCTCTCGATCTCGATGGGCTGCCCGGCGCGATCGTAGAGCGCAATCACAAAGTGAAAGAAATTCGATTTACGCAAATTGCTGGGCGGCTGTTTCTCAAAGTGGGCGCGGCCAATGCCCAGGCTGCAATTAGAAGGAAAATAGGCGTCTTTAAAAAACGTAGGCCTACTTCAAATTATGCTATTAGCCATGTAAATAGAGCCGCAATTAGGCAAACGCCCAACTAATAATAATGCTGTGCCACATTGTTTTGGGACAGACAACTCAATTACTTGACAGTGACATTTAAACAGCAGCCACAGTCCACTGTCCAGTGTCCAGTGTCCAATGTCTAGTGGTTAGTGGCCAGTGACAGCTATCATTAAAAGCGCATAAGCGCAACTTCAACGTGACACAATAATCCTGATGAGTAAAGGAATTAACACACAACAGCTTCAGGCAGGGGTCGGTTTCTGGCCAAGAGCGAGTGAGCGAGTGTGCGACTCGTCAACAAATATTTATGTTATGTGGGCCAAGCAAACACTGTAATTATAAGTACAGGACAGGCACACACAAACACACACACACACGCACACACACTTGCACACATATATACCTTAACATGTACATGGAACATGGGATATGGGACATGGGCCAAAAGGCTTGTCCACTCCATATGCCAAATGTCAACACTGCAACTGCTACTCCTGTTGCGACTCCTGCTCATGCTCCTGCTACTACTCCTGTTAGTGTACTGCCGCTCACCTTATGGCTTATGACTCGTGTCTGTGCCCCCTTCTCCTGCTGTTGTCTGTCTGTCAGCGCAATTACTGGGCAATGCTAACTACCTAGCCGTAGAGCTGGCGACCCTCGGACACGGCCGAGTAGCTCGTCTGCGTTTTTCTTTCCCACCCACACATATACTATATACCTATACATATATGCATAACGAACAATTTAATTTAGAAAATGCTGATTTTATCAGATTTCTATTATTTATTCAGGCAAATGTCAAGAAGTATCGCGCAGACAGCAACTCCTATGCCAACTATCCAATGTCCAGGCGCAATTATATACACATTTGCCAAAGGATAATGCCAGAGGACTTGGCTCAGCTAATGATAGCCCCAATGATAAATCGTTTTGAAAATTATCTACTATGCTCGCCAGCAAACAATAACAATAATAACAACAACAACAACAAAGAAAATCGAAGCAATTTAAGTTATGCAAACAACAAATGTCGTTTGTTTGTTGGTTTTTTTTTTTTTCATTATTTGTTTACTTTACTTTAATTATTATTTATACGAAACATGAATATTGATTCTCAAGGGCATTCAGTGGAATTATTATTGCAACGGCGACATATGTATGTATGTATGATTAAAGCGAATGGAGATTTTTTATACATATATAATATTATATATGTTTATATATGTTGATATGTTTTATATATCATATATCTATACGTTTAATAAGAACTTACGATCTGTTTTTAGTGTTTTCATTTGCAATTTCTTTTATAACAAAATATTTAAATTTGTCTAAAGCTTTAGACTTTAGTCTTCAATTTACAAAAAATTTATTAATGTTATTAATATTATTTAGATATTCTATTATTAATATTTAACAAACATAATTTAATATTTTTCATTCTTATTAAAAGTCTAGTAGTTGGAATTAAAAAAGGTTTATGCAAATTCATTTGGAATTTGTCTTTAAATAAAATATTTAAATTTTTCTAACGCTTTAAACCCTAGTCTTCACTTAAAAAAAATGTATTGGCCTTATTAATATTATTTGGATATTTGATTAATAGTTAACAAACACAATTTAATTTATTTATTTTTCTAAGTTTATTAGGTTTTTGTAAATTTCCAAAATTTGTGTAAGTTTTGAAATATAAATGTAATTTGTGTAAATAATTTGTATTTTATTTATTTTTTTTTCTGAGCATTTTCCATTTTAAGGCTCTCAAAAATACCACTAAAATTACTAAAATGTTCGATTCTGCCCCCGAGGTAGTTAAAAAATGCAACTATGCGCCTTTGCTAATGCAATTTCAATTTAGCAATTCGCAAAAACAAATGAAATTAGACAATTTGTGGCTGCAGCAGAAATGTGCCAGGCTACAGAAGCAGGACCAATGCACAGAGGTGAATGGGGAGTGTGGGGAGTTGGGAGTTGGAAGTTGGTAATCGGGAGTGGCTGCCCACACACACATACAAGTGCGAGTGATATTCGAGTCCGACACATAAATGCCAGACATGTTACATTCTGGGCGAAAGGTTATTGTTATGGAGTTGCAGGAGGACTACATACACACCTACAATATCTGTATGTGTGAGTATATGTATATGACCCCACCAAAAAGTGAGCTGGCCAAATAAAAAACAGCGACTGTACAACTGTTCGTTTGCTGCTGCTGGCCGCCTCCTGCTCTGTGGCTAAGCACTCGATTGTTGACTTTTCCGACTTCAGTCGCAATTGTGTGGACTTTTTCATTCTATGGCTTGTTTGCGCTTGCCGCCAATTTGCGAAAAACGTTTTGTGGCCGTTTTGCTGTTGATTTTATTATGCCAACATTTAATTGTCGGAAATCGATGCCCAGGTGACCAGCAGGTAAGAGACAGGTAAGGACAGGTTGGGGCGGGACACGAGTCGTGGTCACGTTTTGCCTATTTCCGCGCACGTGAATTTCCATTTTGCGCTTTTCTTTTATTTTTTGTTTTTATTGCTTTTATTGTTTCCTCCAACTGCACTAAACTCCCATTGAATATCCTTTAAAAAGGACACTTTATTTACAATACACTTCGATTACAGTCATTGTTGTTGCTGCTGTGTGTTGTTGTTGCTGCTGCTGCTGCTGCTGTGTTGCTGTTCACTTTATGGCCATTGTTGCATTGTTTTTCTCGATTGCAGTTCGCCGCAATCTTTGTTGAAATAAATTTCGAATATTTTTTTATGATTTATGCTCGAACATTTTGTTGCAACTTTAGACTAATATTAAGCACAATGTGTGTGCGACAATAGATAAATAAATATATAAATAACAGAAGGTCTACCTAGGAAATAATATTGATTAGCTTGCAGATAAGTGTGCAATTTATTCCTTGCTCAAAGTTTTCCAAATACACTGGTTTAAATAATAAACAGTTGCAATTGGTGCTCAAAGCAGAACGAGAAAGCAACTCTTTATGCATAGCTTACAGAATCTCCAGGTCAAACACTTTTGCTTAGAGACTCTAATTTTAATTCAATATTTAATATTCAGTTCGCATTTCTATTGGATAAAGAATTTTCTTATTTAGAAACATTGCCACCATATATAGGAATAATTATTAGGAATTATAAGTGTATATACATATATCAATATATCATTAGAAATATCTGAAAAAACTGTTAGGATATTTTGCATATAAATTGCTCAAAAAAATCAATTGAAAAATATAGAGATTTATTAAAACAACTGTTTTTATATAAATATTTAAAAAATATTCAAAAAGTTTACTCATATTTATATATTTAAAATAAAATGAGCTTGAAAATTATATGGACGTTCTTTGACATTTTTCTCAGTTCATAAAAATAGAACATTTAATTATTATATAGAAAAAATATGCTTTTTAATTATATTTAAATTTATTAAACGGTTTTAGTTTGAAAATTGATTGTTTCAGAATTAAAGTTGTATAAGAAAATATTATTTTTAATTTTTTGAGATATTATTAATTACAAATAAGCAACAAGATACATTTTTTGTTAAAATCTATTGATATTTGTATAAAAAGAATTTTCCAAGTATTTTAGAATATTAACGACTATTATAAAAATAGCATTAATCCAAAAATATTAAATAAAGAAATGTTGAGAAAAATATGCTAGTTATTTTGCAATTTTAACGAAATTGAAGCTTGTCAAGAAACAATAAATAAATTCGTTCTCTTAATATTCCCATTCACAAACACATAAACAAATACAGCCCTTATCGTATTATATAGTATATACTTGAATTTACGCCGTTTTACCTCACATCACAGCGCATAATCTTAATGTTTGCGTTGCTCAGGGTTTGATTGTGATCCTGAAGCAGATTGTCCTCGTGCAGCAGATGCAAATGTCTGCTGCTAATGCTGCTGCCGTGGCCACCTGTGTCGCTGTTCAGGTGTGTGTGTGAGTGTGTTTGCTGCTGTTGATTTGCCGTCGCTGAATGCACGGAATGAAAGCCCGCGGTCATTTTCAACAATGTGACACTCGCACTCGCACTCGCAATTGCTGTTGCTGTTGTTGCTGTTGTTGCCGTTTCGATTTCTGCCACACGCGCACTTCTTCTCGGCGCGAACATCTCACGCTAGAAACATCTCAGACGCAACTAAACAAGCGTGCCACAAGGCGAAGCTTTTGCCACAGTTGCAAACCCCCAAAATGAGCCGGAGGGCGCTCTTCTTTCTTGTAATTCAATTGAAATGAACGCCAAGGCGAAGTCGAAGGCAAAGGCAAAGGCGGAGGCAAAGGCGAAGCCAAAAGCGAAAGTGAAGCTCCAACAAAAACATCCCTTTGAGCGCACACAGCGTCCAAAATAAAAAGCACACCAACTCAAAGGCAACGGCGACGGCTACGGCAAAGAGGCTTACGCATTACGGCGTCAGCATTCCGGCATCAGGAGTCAACCCCGGAAAGTGCGTGCGGCGCCCTTTATGAAGATGTCTAGTCGAGTTGTTTCTTATTTGAGTGAAATTTTGAGTGGAATTCGTTGTTGTTGTTGTTGTTGTCATTTGGTTTGACTACGTCTGTTTGGCATGTTGCGGGGGCGTCCATAAAAATCCCCTTTGCCTGACCGACCGACTGACTACGGGTTTTCGCAAATATCTTCCCCCGGGGGCACTCATATCGGACTAAAGCCGGCTTTGGCCAAAAGTAAACAAACGCTTTTTTGGAGACTTTTTGTTTGTCTAAACATTTTTTGTGGTTGCAGCAACATGCGAAATGTTGCCAGCAATGTTGCCAAGTTTTCGAAATTGATAATGCGAAAGTTTGGGAAATTAACTAGAATTTTGAAAAGCTTTAATTTCTATGAAGTCAGTAAATATGTCGCGATTTTAATAGACAACATTCTGATAAGCCTGGTTCCATTATTTGCCTAGTAATTGTTATTTTAAGCACATGTTAAGCAAATGTTGCTGGACTTATTCGAAGATGTTGCCACGAAAATAAATGCAAAATTGTTGAGATTACTTGATTTATACGAAAATTTAACTTTACTGTTATTGAACATTTGATTGAATGGTTAAGGAATTTTTTAATATATATTTTAATTATATAATAATCAGTTGATCATTTATCAAGACGATCCCAAGGCATATAAACTTTTTGTGAGAATATCATTTAATTACAATAATTCACAATTTAATTCTAACCTTTAACTTGCAACTCTTTGCTTCCTTTCATTCCACACTTTTATTTATATAATTTCATTCTACACTTTCAAGCTAAACCCGCTTCATAATCCTTCACTTGATCACATTTCACTTACTTGCTCTGATCGACGACTGGCTGCATGGCCCAACGTCCGCCGAGGGGCTCCTCTTTGAGGGATGTCATCGGGCCGCGCGGCTGGTTCATGTCCGCCGCTGTGGGCGGCAGGCTGAACATCAGGCCGCCAGCGGATCGGGGTCCCGCGGTGGGATAGAGCTTGCGTCCCCATTCCATGCCCAGCTCCAGAGTGGGCCACGGCGAGGCCGAGCTGAAGCCCGGCACCGGCTCCTCGGAGCGCAGCTTGAAGCTATCGGCGCTGGTCAGGGGCGCTGTGCTAGCGAAGTGATGGTGCTGATGCTGATGGAGATCAGCGTACGGATATTCGTTCACCTTTGTGTAGTTGCTCGCGGCAGGTGTTGGGGCGATTGTGGCAGCCGTTGTGAATGCTGTTGCTGACGAGGGCGCTGCTATTGAAATTATTGCCACGATTTGACACTAAGCACAAAAAACTGTTTGCTGTTGTTGTTGTTGTTGTTGTCGTTGTCGTTGTCTGGGTCACTTGATCTCTCTGGAGAGGCACGGCAATCAATAAAGCGCGACACGGATTGAGATACGGCTGCAGATGCTGATACCGAGACCGATACAGATTCAGAGATGGAGATGATCCCTTAATTTTAATACCGGAGCACACAAATTGGCACTGAAGGCGAAAGCAAAAGCGAAGGCGATTGTAATTGGGGATTTGAATTGAACCCAGTATTGTGTATTGGTGTAGGCCGTGGTGTGCGGGCGTATGCTGTCAGCGCGTGTGAGTATGTGTGTGGAAGTGCCAATGCACCGCGGAGAATTTGGGATTTTCGGAAAATTGGTCTCGCAACAAGTTTAAGCGGCGCGCGCTACCGTCCCGAGTGGCTGTTAAACCCCAACTGAATCCGAGTCCGCTGCGATGCTGCTGCTGCAATCGAACGGCAACGGCCAAGGCAACTGCGCAGCTTCGAGCTGTGAGCTGTGAGCTGCGAGCTGCGACGCCGGCGAAGGCAGCGCTAGTCAAGCCGCAACGACCAACGAGAGTTGAAGTCGCGGTGGAAACGAAACGAGCGTGCGCCGCAGGAGCACAGCGGGTGGCTGGCAGGAGAGGGTGCACGCTGCTGCTGCAGCAGCAACAACAGCAACAACAACAACAACAGCAGCAGCAACAAGACTTGCCTGCGACCGAGTAAGCGCGTAAGGCATGAGCGAATGGAAATCTAACCTATCGCTGGGAGTGGTGGTTTTTGCAGGCCAGGCATCGAGCGTCGCCGTGGCGCAGGCCAAAGGGAAACCTGTGCCCGTCCGTCGTCCGAAGTCCGTCGAGAGCCGAACTGTCAGCAACCATCCACCAACGATGACGACTCGACGCTCGCTGGGCGAGGACGTGGGCCAGACAGAGAGCCAAGAGTCGAGCGAGTGAGAGAGAGAGAGAGAGAGCGGGAGAGCAGAGGCGTTGGAGAATGTCATTGTATGTGTGTGTGTATAGCAGCACCTGAATGTGTGCGCTTGTGTGTGTGTGTGCGTGGGGACCACGACGCCGACGCTGACCTGTTGTGGGACGTTGGAATTGGCACAGCAACATCGGTGTCTCCGACTCTTCTGCAGAGTCCACGTGGGTGCCCCATGGACCCTGGTCGAGAGGCGTGTGTATTGCCAGACGGGTCCGCTGTGCCAACTGTTTGGGCCAAGTACAAGTCCCCTTGCTCGCGTTGGCTTATCTATAGCTATTCCCAGACAACGGCTGCCAGCATTTCGGTGCCCAGGCAGCAGCACAACCGGCAGCTAAAAGTGTCAACGCCCCATCCCAACATCGAGTCATTTGGGAATCGAAACAAAATGTCATTGTGTGCCTGTCTCTGATTGGCCAATGCGGTCTCAACGGCACTTAATCCAGTCAGCCAAAGAGAGCAGTGCGCACGAGAGAGAGAGAGAGCGTATCGACTGGCTCTTAGCCAAGCAGTCGGCTAAGCAGTTGCACAGCTTGCGGGCAGTGCACAGCGAAACGAAACGAAAATAGTGAAACAAAATACTGGAATGAATATTTCTCTACAATGCGCGAACAATTTAAATAAAATAAATTAAACTGGATTTTTCAACAGACTGTGCTTTACTTTAAATTAGTTTTAGTTTTATAGAAAAGCTTTTTTTTAAATAAATAAATAAATAAATAAATAATTAAAGTGAATATAACTAATTGAAATATGTATATCAACATGAATATATTTATACATATAAATTTAATGTATGTATTTAATAAACATAAATTAATAAATATAAATATATTACTACACAGCTTAGTAGTTTAACGCCCACTTAATTATTACTTTTTTTTTATAAATGCAAAGTAAATTTAATTCAAATAAAAAAACCAAGTAAATATTATTTCAAGACCGTAATTCTAACTTTTTTTATTTGATATAATATATCATAGATTTATTTTCTAAGAACATGATTATCTCAACAGCTTAATCTCAGCTTAACTACATGTATTTTCCTTCAGCTAGTTCTATTAGTTTTTGACTTTAGGCGAAAAGTCAAATGATTTTTGGATTTTCCCATATTGTAAACAAGTTGTCAAACAAATTCGAGTACCTACTTCTGCATTCGGATTAGCATTTCAGTGTGTTGTCCGAAAATTACAAACATAAGCGAAACCGCCTACAAAATTTTCACAATTTTCACGCCTCGTCAGAAAAAACAACGGGCAGTCGGCTGTGGCAGGCAAACCATTTGAATTTTCCGCCTTTGCGGTTGCCATTCAAAGAGACGAGAGCTGAAGGGTTGCTTGTGTTTCGCTTCTGTGAATTAATTTAAGGGGCGTTCGAATCTGGCTTTGACTCAACTGCGAGCTAGGTATACGAACAGGCCTATTCTTCAATAGCTCTACATATATTTGTCTATATATTGCTTAGTCTATTTCGGCCAGCTAGTGACAGTCGAAATGTCTCCCAATAGATTTGTGCGAGTCAATAAGGCGCAGGAATTTTGAAGTACATTCATATTTAATGCTCGAATCAAAAGGGCAACAAAACACGTCCCCAGACGTCGCCAATTAAGCAATTGCTGGAGCACACAAAGTCAGGCCCCAAAAATCTACGCGCAAAACTTGAGAAAAATTTCTGAATTTTCCAGTTCAGGCAACTCATTAGCGCCGCGTCAACCACACTGAAAAAGAGAGAGTGAGAAAAAAAAAGAAATCCGTGCCAGAGACCGCAACTTGGATGCTCCCGAGCGAATAGTCGGTCGGTCGTTGGTCCAACGACTTTAGCGGACGTTCGATTAACCCCTTTTATCACGCGCTATTCTCCATGGGATGTGGGCCCAGGGGCCCGGTACCAAATTTTGTACGTTGCCTGGCAGCTGTCATAGAACACCTCACTTTGCCTCGCCTTACCTCAGCTCACCTCCCCTCACCTTACGACCGTTTCGCCTCCTTCCCCTTGGCCGCTCTGCCTGGCATTTGTTTGTCATTGGGAACGCAAATTCGAATTGTTTTCAATTGGATTACATGACCGCGACTCACTAACCCATGGCCAAATAATAAGCCCCGCAGCATCACTCACAGTCACAGTCACAGTCACAGTCAGAGTCACAGCAGTCGTTCAACTGGTCCTCCTGGCTGACAATTAAACTCTCGCTGCTCGACTTAAGGGATTAACCAAATTGTTTATCTTCCATTGCACGCAATGAGTGCTTATTAACACAAATGCTTGACTCGATAAATGTGCGGCTTGACTTACAGCCAAAATAAACATGGATAACAATAACTGACAGTGATGACACGAGTTTGAAGAGCTGGCAGATTAAAGCAAACTTCATTTAGTCTTCCAGAAAGGAAGAGACATGAATGGGGTATATAACCGAATCATACTAGACATAAATGAGCATACAAATTATGTGAGAGAACTCAAAAGTTTTAAAAGAACTTATACTAAAATAACTAACTAAAATAAAAAACTATTATTTCTATAATTATTATTTAATTATAATAAAATTATTTAGTTAATAAAAAAATAAAATAATAATAATAATTATTATTATTATTTTATTTTTTTTTTAATTATTAATATTAATTATATTATTATATTTATATAACTATCTAAAAATAAAAATATTTCAGTGTTGGCCATTGGCATTTTGTTTTATTGAAATAATTAAGTAGAAAAGATTATATTCATTTCACTATATAATTTACATTAAAATAAATACTGAATATTCTTCAAATTCAGCTAGGCCTCGCCATGTTTATAATGTGGCCTTGCTTCATAAGTCTTTCAATATGCAGTCTGTGTTTTAATGACTATGGAAATCTACATTTAACTGTCAGCCCCCTTAGCTGCTCTCCAGTCAGAACGATGTGAATGAGATAACGATAGTCGACTTCAATACTCCAAGTATAAAAAAATTAAGCTGTGCTTATTCAGTATGAAGAATAATTGTATAAGTATATATAAACTGAACTCTCCTCTTCTCTTCTCAATAGAAGCCAACATATTTTGCGGAACACCCTTAATATACCTGCGACAGTATTTGATAACCCTAAATTGAGTCTAGTCTTGTCAATAACAACTTGTCAATAACATTTTAATGAAATTTAGTGAAAACTGTGAATTCTTATCATGCAACTATTTATTTTTTACACTAGCCAACAAAGGCGCATTTCACTCGCGTTCGCTTTCTCTGGCCGCCATTTTGCAATTATGGCCATGAATAAATTAAACGTACTCAAAACTCAAGACTCGCATGTAAATGGCCCATTTGTCAAAGATAAAGGAATATTTCTGTGACTCTGTCCATATGCAAGACATTCACAGAGGCGAGCCATAAATTAAGCCGAGCGGACAGACGGAGAAATTCGAGGCGCGAACAACTTAATTAGTTTCCTTTTATGCATTTTCTCAAGTGTGCCGCTAGTCGAGGTCCTATTGGGATCCTGTTCTTGTTTCTCTCCTCCCCATCCTCCATCCTTCCTCTTCCTGCTGTATGCAAATTAGCTCTGAGTAATGTCGCAGCAGTTGAATGAGATGCGATGCTAACAAACACAGAAATACACACACTCACACACTCTAAGCATAAATCATTTTAAGTTTTACAGTTCTCTTCGATACTGTGACGACTTCAACTCTCAGAGAGAGTCAACAGAGGTGCAGCAGCAGCAGCAGCAGCGTTCTTCAAGTCATCATCATCATCATCATCATCGTCTATTCATGGAATTTGTTTAAGGCTCTCAATGCTCGCTGCTCGCAGCTCTCTGCGGATTTGAGCTGGCAGATGCTGTCGTTACGCTTAACAATGAAAGTATCTTTGGAAATGACAACATATGACAGTTGCTTTGTCTGCAAGCCAAACAAAGCCGTGGACCACCAAAAGTTTCGAT